TCATGGGCCCTGACTCCGGGTGGGTGGCTGGCCATGGTGGGTCCTGACTCCGGGTGGGCGGCTGGTCATCATGGGCCCTGACTCCGGGTGGGCGGCTGGTCATCATGGGCCCTGACTCCGGGTGGGTGGCTGGCCATGGTGGGTCCTGACTCCGGGTGGGCGGCTGGTCATCATGGGCCCTGACTCCGGGTGGGCGGCTGGTCATCATGGGCCCTGACTCCGGGTGGGTGGCTGGCCATGGTGGGTCCTGACTCCGGGTGGGCGGCTGGTCATCATGGGTTCTGACTCCGGGTGGGCGGCTGGTCATCATGGGCCCTGACTCCGGGTGGGCGGCTGGCCATGGTGGGCTCTGACTCCGGGTGGGCGGCTGGCCATGGTGGGTCCTGACTCCGGGTGGGTGGCTGGCCATGGTGGGTCCTGACTCCGGGTGGGCGGCTGGCCATGGTGGGTCCTGACTCCGGGTGGGCGGCTGGCCATGGTGGGTCCTGACTCCGGGTGGGTGGCTGGCCGTCGTGGGCCCTGACTCCAGGTGGGTGGCTGGCCATCATGGACACCTGACTCCGGGCCTACACACTCAGGCACCGGCTGCTGCCCCTCTTCCCATGAGGACGCCACAGGGTGGACTGGGTTCTGTGCCCAGGCTTTGGACTGAGCAAACAGAATTTTTCCAGAATGTTCTAGAATGTGTATACAGGGCTCAGAGTTAGTTTCTGGGCCACAGCCAGTTCTAGGCAAGCCGGGTAGAGAAAAAGGTGAAAAACAAATGAGCAGCAGGCGGGCTCTGAGTCAGAGCAAAACCAGGTGCTTTGCCTCTGCTCTCCTTAAAGGGAGAAAGCGCGCCGTGGGGCAGCTGGGGGGGGCGGGGGCCGTGGGGCAGCTGGGGGGGGGCGGGGGCCGTGGGGCAGCTGGGGGGTGCGGGGGCCGTGGGGCAGCTGGGGGGGGCGGGGGCCGTGGGGGAGCTGGGGGGGGCCGTGGGGCAGCTGGGGGGGGCGGGGGCTGTGGGGCAGCTGGGGGGGGGCGGGGGCCGTGGGGCAGCTGGGGGGGGCCGTGGGGCAGCTGGGGGGGGCGGGGGCTGTGGGGCAGCTGGGGGGGCGGGGGGGCAGCTGGGGGGGTGGGGGGCAGCTGGGGCGGGGGCCGTGGGGCAGCTGGGGGGGCCGTGGGGCAGCTGGGGGGGCGGGGGGGCAGCTGGGGGGGGCCGTGGGGCAGCTGGGGGGGGCCGTGGGGCAGCTGGGGGGGGCTGTGGGGCAGCTGGGGGGGCCGTGGGGCAGCTGGGGGGGCCGTGGGGCAGCTGGGGGGGGCGGGGGGGCAGCTGGGGGGGCCGTGGGGCAGCTGGGGGGGGCCGTGGGGCAGCTGGGGGGGGCGGGGGCTGTGGGGCAGCTGGGGGGGCCATGGGGCAGCTGGGGGGGGCCGTGGGGCAGCTGGGGGGGGCGGGGGGGCAGCTGGGGGGGGGCGGGGGGCAGCTGGGGCGGGGGCCGTGGGGCAGCTGGGGGGGGGCCGTGGGGCAGCTGGGGGGGGCGGGGGGGCAGCTGGGGGGGGCCGTGGGGCAGCTGGGGGGGGCGGGGGGGGCAGCTGGGGGGGGCCGTGGGGCAGCCCGAGGGGGGGCATGGGGCAGCCAGGGGGGGGGGGCTGAGGGGACTTCCTCCTGGGCTGCCCCGCTGGCCCTGGGCTGCCCCCTCAGGGAGTCTGCTTTCTGTTCTGTGCACACCTCTGGGGGACTGGGTGCCTAGAATCGGGCTGGGTCACAGCCAGGCCCAGCCCCAAATCCCAGCACCCTGCCCCACCCCGCAGGCTGGGGGACCCGTGCTCACCCTCTGACACAGGTAACGCCAGGGTGGCTGCCGCCTCACCAGGTGCGGAGCGGGCTCTGGAAGGTCACGGGGTCACGGTTGTCCCTCCAGCTGCAGGGGCTGAGCAGGTGGGAGACCCCCCACCCACCCGGTCCCGACAGACCCGGCCCTGCGACTCCACCCTGCTCACCGCCCGGTGGGGATGCAGCCCCCGTGACCCGCCATTCCCACTGCACACCAGCTGTGCCTGGCCCAGGGCTGGGCAAGGGCGAGTCGAGGGACCAACGGTGCTCCTCCGTGCCCGGGGGCAGGACGGCGGTGGAGCCCCCACCCCGGTCCTCAACCTCGGAGCTTGACAGTTTGACAACCGAACTTTAATAAGTGGGCGTCTAAGGGACTGTACCCACTGATCTCTGTTCTGGAAAGGCAGCCCTCTGAGGAGAGGCTGCAGGGCCCACCCCAGGCCCACGCGGGCAAAGGCCCTCAGGGCCCGCCTGCAGCTCAGCCTCCTCCCAGGTGAGTGCCGTCTGCTTTCCTGGAGATGTCCAAAGGTGGACGCAGCCAAGCACCTGCTGCTGGGCGTGGAGTTTGCTCAGCCCTGCCCTGAGCTGGGAGCGTGTGCGCACCAGCCGCGCCTGCCTGCCCTGCCGCCAGCCCCCGCACCGCCTCCTCTGGGACCAGGGAGCCCGCCAGCAGGTGCTGCCCACCTCGCCACCTGGCCTCCTGGGGGCTCCCGATGGTGACTTGGGGGAGCGCTGCGACTGGAAGGCCTCCCTCAGCCTGCCTGCCCTGTAGACTATGAGACACATAGAACGGCTTCATCCGTCCAGCCTTATCTCTCCATCTGTCCGTCCATCCACCCAGGAGACACGGGATGGGGCGCGCACAGGGAACAACCCCCCCCACACCTGGGACCTGCTCTTCCCCACCGCCCCCATACCCCGCCCCAGGTCTCTGTCCCTCCTGTAGATCCTGGACTCTCAAGCACGGCTCAGTCAATCCCACAGCGTCCTCCACTGGAGACCTGTCTTCCTGACAGTGGCAGAGCCACCCTGAGCACCATGTACCCCCCACCCGTGGGCTCCCGGAGGTATGTGTAAGGAGGGCCTAAGGGAGCAAGAAAGTAGGGGGGAGGGGAGAGGGGAGGGATGAGGAAGGGAAGAGGGCAGGGGAGGAGGGGGGAGGGGAGAAGACCTCACTCCCTCCACCACAAAGCTGGGAGCTGGCCGCAGACAGAAGTGGTCTTTGGGGGAGCCCTGTCCCCTGCTGCCCTGCCCCCACAGCCACTTCCTCTCCGGCTTCTTATCTGCTGGGCTGCCTAGCTCAAAAAGCCACAGCCAACGTCTGCTTCCTCGCAAGCACCAACTGCCCGTCCTGGGGTGCGGGGGGGGGGGGGGGGGGGGGAGGGGAGCGTCCCAGGTCGGCAGCCCCCGCCGTGGGTGGCGCCCGGCCCTCTCCAGCTCTGCGGACCAGACAACCAGGCAGAACAAGGAGTGGGCACCCGCGCCTCCTCTCAGAAGGGGACTGTCCTGCCTGGGGCAGCGTGGTGGACCCAAAGGCCAAACACCAGCAGCCAGGGCTGCAGCCACCAGCCCTCCCTGAGGCCCAAAGCGGGAGGGTCTGCCTGAACCTCCTTCCCTGACGTGACCCAGCCCAGGTGCGCCTGGCTGGTTGCACTGGTGGCTGCAATGGGTCCACAACTCACAAACCTCTGCTCCAGGGAGGCTGGGGGGGGGGGGAGAGGCCTCCATCCTGCGAGAAGAACGAGGCCAGGACCCCCAGGCCCAGCCCCTCACCCCACCCTGGCCAGACACAGGAGGGGAGGGTACCAGAGGGAACAGCTCAGCCACAAACCTGGGCAGAGTGGAGGCTAGCGGACCGGAGAGGTGGGCGGGGGGGAGGCTAGTGGGCCGGAGAGGCCTGGGGGGGGGAGGCTAGCGGCCAGAGAGGCCGGGGGGGCAGAGAGGCCGGGGGGGGGGCTGTGCCAGGAAGCCCCTCCCGGGACAGGCCCCGCCAGTGCAAGGCCAAGCCGCTTGCCCGGCCTGGCGACCCACTCAGCACCCAGGACAGAAGCAGACCGGGATGGAGGGATAAGTAGTTCACTGTTCATGAGCAATCTACAATCAAAGCAACGCAAAGCGGCAGGGGTGGCGGGGGCTGCCGTGCTGAAGGCCTGTCTCGGGGGTCCGCGGGGTGGTGCGGTGACACCAGGGGGCCCCCACCCAGCTGGGCACACGCTGCCCTCCCCCGCAGCCTCCTGCCTGCCCCTGCCCTCAGGCACCGCCATGCCCTTTCCCCAGCACTTCCTCTAATGGACACACACGGGGTGGGGCTCCAGGATGCCGCCTCCCCCAGCCCCGTCTGAGTGGGGACAGAGGGCTCTGAGGGGAACGTGGGGTCTCCCAGGCCCCTGGGCAGGGCCCGCTGCCCACCTGTGTGTGGCTCACTCCACAGCAGCCTCCCGTGGGAGAAGGGGCATCGGAGTCTCCCCCAGGGAAACAGCTTCCCGGGCCAGCCTGGTGGGAAGTTCTCTGGGGAGAGATGGAGGCCAGGAAGCCTGGGCAGTGGAGAGGTTCCAGCTGAGCTGTGGGGCCCGGATGCTGCTGAGCGGCCTGCAGGCCTGCCCCTGGCCAGCTGGCTCCGGGTTGGGAGAGACGCAGAATGGGACATTGGCAGGGATGGACGAACGGACGGAAGGGGGACTGGGGGAGGTGAGGGACTGAGCAAGAGAACCCCTGACCACCCAGGCTGCAGGACACTCGTGGTGGGCAGGCGGGAGGCCAGGGAGGCCAGGGACACTCGTGGTGGGCAGGAGGGAGGCCAGGGAGGCCAGGGGTCCTGGCCGGGATGGTTCCCGTCCCGCACAGAGGAAACACACCCGCGCGGGCCATGGGAGGCCACAGGCTGCAGGCCGGGCAGAGGAAGTTATTGGAAAGTCAAACCGGAATGGCACGAGGAGGGGCCGGGCCGGCCGGGCAGATGGTTCCTGCTGGGGAAGCGGCGGGCACAGCTGCGGCCCCCCGGCCCCACCGCACTATCGCGGCGACACAGCTGGCTGCCTCTCCCCTCTGCGGCCCTCCCCTCCACGGCCCTCCCCTCCACGGCCCTCCCCTCCGAGGCCCTCCCCTCCGCAGCCCTCCCCTCCACGGCCCATGAGGCCCTGCTACCCCCCACCCTCCCCAGGGCCTAGCTAGCACAGGCTGGCGGGCGGGCGCACGTTAGCAGGGCCTGGTGCTTCTGGAGGAACACAGGCCTGCGTGCCAAACAGGCCCAGCTGGCCCGACCCTCCACAGCCGACGAGGCCCCACGGGGTCAGGAGAGGCTCTCTGGGAAGGGCTGACCCCCACCTGCCCCGGGGACAGCCTCCTGCTGCCCGGCTCCAGCTCGGCCTCCACCTGCATGTCCCAGGCTTCCTCTTTGCTGCAGAGCCAGCCCCCCATATCAGGACCTCGGGGTCCCGGAAAGAGCAGCGCAGGTAAGAGGCTGGGGGGCAGGGGCGGCCGGAGCAGGCAGGGGAGGGGCAACGTCTCTGAGCTGCTGCCTGTGCAGCTCTGTGGACAGCGTGGTCAGGTTGACTGGCCTCAGCTGTCCCACAGCCAGGACAGGTGGCCTGAGGTGCACCTGGCGGGCGCCAGGCCCGAGTCCCGGCCCTACCTGGAGGCCTGGGCCTGACCCACACACACGGGGCCAGCTGTGTTCCTCCACAGTGGGGCAGTGGCCAAACATGGAGGACAGAGGCCCCTCCTCGGGAGGCCCAAGGGCATCCGCCAGATCTCACGAGGGAACTGGAGTTGACCTGCGAGCGAGAGATTCCGGGCAGGACGGGGGGACATGGCTTCTCTGACGTTGCCAACCTCGGCCCACACCTCGGGGCTTGGTGTGCAGGCATTTGGTCTGCCCTCCCCCGGGGCCACGTGGCCACCTCCAGGGAGCCTCTAAAACCAAGTGCTCCTCACCCTGAGTTTTTGGCCTGTCATCTGCAGAGGGTCCTACCCCGAGCAGACTCTGTAGCGGTCCAACCTCTGGGGCTCCAGCCACCCACAGATGCCTCCAGCAAAGATGCCACTGTGCAGAGCCTGTGGTGTGCAAAGATCAGTGTGCAGAGCTCACGGTGTGCAGAGCTCACGGTGTGGAGAGCCTGTGGTGTGCAGAGCTTGTGGTGTGCAGAGCTTGTGGTGTGCAGAGCTTGTGGTGTGCAGAGCCTGTGGTGTGCAGAGCTTGTGGTATCCAGAGCCTGTGGTGTGCAGAGCTCACAGTGTGCAGAGCCTGTGGTGTGCAGAGCTCACAGTGTACAGAGCTCACAGTGTGCAGAGCTCACGGTGTGCAGAGCCTGTGGTGTGCAGAGCCTGTGGTATGCAGAGCTTACAGTGTGCAGAGCCTGTGGTGTGCAGATCTCACAGTGTGCAGAGCCTGTGGTGTGCAGAGCTCACGGTGTGCAGAGCTCACAGTGTGCAGAGCTCACGGTGTGCAGAGCCTGTGGTGTGCAGAGCCTGTGGTGTGCAGAGCTCATGGTGGCAGAGCTTGTGGTGTGCAAAGCTTGTGGTGTGCAGAGCTCATGGTGGCAGAGCTTGTGGTGTGCAAAGCTTGTACTGTGCAGAGCTCACAGTAGCAGAGCCTGTGGTGTGCAGACCTGTGGTGTGGTGTGGTGTGCAAATCCTGGGGTGTGTAGGGCCATGCTGCTGACACAACAGCATGATATTGGCTTCTTCCAAGTGTGGCAGCACACACCCCTGAGGGAGGGGGCACTGTGGGGAGGGGGCTCTGTGGGGAGGGGGCACTGTGGGGAGGGGGCACTGTGGGGAGGGGGCACTGTGGGGAGGGGGCACTGTGGGGAGGGGCACCACTGCGGGGAGGGGGCACTGTGGGGAGGGGCACTGTGGGGAGGGGGCACTGTGGGGAGGGGACACTTTGGGGAGGGGGCACTGTGGGGAGGGGCACTGTGGGGAGGGGGCACTGTGGGGAGGGGGCACTGTGGGGAGGGGCACTGTGGGGAGGGGCACTGTGGGGAGGGGGCACTGTGGGGAGGGGGCACTGTGGGGAGGGGCACTGTGGGGAGGGGGCACTGTGGGGAGGGGGCACTGTGGGGAGGGGCACTGTGGGGAGGGGGCACTGTGGGGAGGGGGCACTGTGGGGAGGGGCACTGTGGGGAGGGGGCACTGTGGGGAGGGGGCACCACTGTGGGGAGGGGGCACTGTGGGGAGGGGCACTGTGGGGAGGGGGCACTGTGGGGAGGGGGCACTGTGGGGAGGGGCACTGTGGGGAGGGGGCACTGTGGGGAGGGGGCACCACTGTGGGGAGGGGGCACTGTGGGGAGGGGGCACTGTGGGGAGGGGGCACCACTGTGGGGAGGGGGCACTGTGGGGAGGGGGCACTGTGGGGAGGGGGCACCACTGTGGGGAGGGGGCACTGTGGGGAGGGGGCACCACTGTGGGGAGGGGGCACTGTGGGGAGGGGGCACTGTGGGGAGGGGGCACTGTGGGAGGGGGCACTGTGGGGAGGGGGCACTGTGGGGAGGGGGCACTTTGGGGAGGGGGCACTGTGGGGAGGGGCACTGCGGGGAGGGGGCACTGTGGGGAGGGGCACTGTGGGGAGGGGCACTGTGGGGAGGGGGCACTGTGGGGAGGGGGCACTGTGGGGAGGGGGCACTGTGGGGAGGGGGCACTGTGGGGAGGGGGCACTGCGGGGAGGGGACACTGTGGGGAGGGGGCACTGTGGGGAGGGGGCACTGTGGGGAGGGGACACTGTGGGGAGGGGCACTGTGGGGAGGGGGCACTGTGGGGAGGGGGCACTGTGGGGAGGGGGCACCACTGTGGGGAGGGGGCACTGTGGGGAGGGGGCACTTTGGGGAGGGGGCACTGTGGGGAGGGGGCACTGCGGGGAGGGGGCATTGCGGGGAGGGGGCACTGTGGGGAGGGGGCACTGTGGGGAGGGGGCACTGTGGGGAGGGGGCACTGTGGGGAGGGGGCACCACTGTGGGGAGGGGGCACTGTGGGGAGGGGGCACTTTGGGGAGGGGGCACTGTGGGGAGGGGGCACTGTGGGGAGGGGGCACTTTGGGGAGGGGACACCACTGCGGGGAGGGGGCACCAGTGCGGGCCAAGGTGTGGCTGGCAAAGACAGCCTCCCCCCCAGGAGCTGGGCTCAGGGCCCTCCACCGCCCACCCCGCCATGTGGTGTTGGGCCAGCTCTCACCAACCCGTTTCCTCCTGCTGGCCCCACGTGGCGTGGGTGTGGCTTCCCGTGGACAGGGCGGAGGCGGGAGGTGACTTGTGGTGCTGTTGTCTGCATGGCAGGGCTGACCCCCGGGGGGAGGTGGCAGGAGGTAGTCGTGAATGTGGCTGGGTGTGCAAGGGTGTGGTGGGGGGTTGGTGGGTGGAGACCCCCAGAGCTGGCCGTCTGCGCGGACAGACGCACAGACGCCCACCCACCGCCTCGAAGTTCCCAAGTCAGTCCCTGCTCCTCAGGGACTCAGGACTCACAGGGACCCTGAGGTTCTGGGGGTCACCTCCAGGGGCAGCGTTGCCCTGAGCCGTGCTGGAGGGGGCTGGGGTGCCGGCGGGGAGAGACCACGAGCTGCCCTGCCCACAGCCCCAAAGCGAGCAAGCCCCTCAGGCGGGCAGCGGGCTCACTTCAACCGAGGGGCCAGAGTCGCTCCCCGCAGAGCTGAGCCGGGGCGCCCCGCCCACTCCTGGGGCTGGGGGCTGAGAGGGAAGGGCTGGGGTGGCCAGCAGGGAGGGGACCCCCTGGTCCCTCTGAGAGACCCCTGCAGGACCGAGCGGTCAGTTCCCGCAGTTCAGGCAGGCAGGCCCGTGAGCCTCAGCGTGGGTGGGGGAGAGCGCGGGTGCCCCCGGGGCACTCCCCTGGGGGAGCTCACCGCTCAGGGCACCTGCCACGCTCCGGCCAGTGTGGGGGGAGCACGTGTGGGGGACCTCCCGCCCGCCGTGCGCCCCGTGGGCAGCTTTCTTGTTGCCGCTCCCTGCACAGTGCGTGTGCGTGTGTGCATTCCTGCCTCTGCGTGGTGAGGCTCTGAACACCGTGTAAGCCCTCTTGGATGGGGGAGGAGGTGCTGTGTGCAGCGTGGGGCCGTGTGTGGAAGACATGAGCAGGGCGGCGTTCAGTGCCTCCGGGGTCATGGGTCTGGTCCCGGACGCATGCACCCACTCCAGACTCTCACAACCCTGCAGGAGGCCCAGAGCTGTGATGCTGGCTGTGCTGAGCCAGGCTCCGGCTGGAGCCTCTGCGGAGGGGCCTCCATTCTGCCTCCTGGTGCATCTGGGCTTCCTGGGTGTCTGGCCGTGATGTCCGGTCACTCCAGTCCCAGCCTCCATCCTCAGTGGCCACCTCTTCCCTCCCGAGACCTCAGGCCTCTCTCCAATGATGGAGCCGCCTGGTCCAGCAGCAGACCAGAAGGAGATGGACGGCGGGAGCTGGGGGCTCTCTCCGTCATCCCTTAGGGGAGGAGCCGGGCACCCCGGCCAGGGCTGGCTCCACAGCCGCCAGCATTAAGGGGTGCAGGTGTGGGTGATGACGTCCCTGGAGTGGACACAGCGTGGCCACAAGGGGGCCGGAAGACGGACATGTCACAACGGACATCGTTGTGACAGGTGTGTGCAGCCCCTGCGACGGAGGCCCGGCCCGCTGCACAGAGCTCCTTCCCGTGCCCCCCGCGTGCCCCATGCACACCCCAGCTCATGTGTGGGGGCGCCCGCTGCACAGAGCCCCCACTGCTGGCCGTGTGGCTCAGGGGTTCTAGGTCAGGCGTGAGGCCCGGGGCCTCCGCTGCCATCACAGGCTCTGCCCACAGACAGCATGGGATCGAGTGCCCCAAAAGAAATGAGCTCATTACCTGACTTACTTAAGTGTAACGGCTCTGTGCATCACCTAGAATAGCAATAACTTCCAGTGGGGCGGTGGCCCCAGAGCCCTGCTGACCGGCAGGCCCCGCTGGGAGCCACCTGCTCAGGGACAGTGGACCCCTGGCAGAGGTCAGAAGGGAGTGGGGAAGGAACCCGGGTTGGAGAGCGGAGAGGAGGCATGAGATGGAGGCCATGAGGGAGGCAGGTACCAGCAGGGCCTCCCTCCCCCTCCTGCCATCCAGGACTGTCCACAGTCCCCTCCCCCTCGGCAGCCTCCGGGACCTGCTGGGGGGGTCTCTACCCTGAGCTCCAGCACTCTCCCCCCAAAACTTCACAAGAGGGAGCCAAGGGACGGAGCCCCGGCCAGGCGGGCTCCCTAGAGGAAGTGGTCCTGCGGGGCGGCGTGGAGGCCGCGTTCCAGGCGAAGGGCTTCCGTTCTCAGCAGAGATGAAGAGGAAAGCCTGGTGGTGTCCGGCCGCCGCCCCAGCCCTCGGACACTCTCAGTTCCACAAGTGCAGCTGCCCGAGGAGACAGGAAGAGGGGCTGGGGCCCGGCACAGGTCCAGGGCCCTCCCAGGGCCCTCTGCCTCCGAAGCCACGGTGGCTGTTGCCACGGCTACA